CTGGAAAGTATTGTTCACATCACTGCACTTAAAATTGAGCCTTTAGAAAGAATTTCTCACGGCTCTAGACAAGGAGTCTGCAGCCATCATGAACGTTCAATAATTCTTCCCCGCGGCAAAAGTCTTCGTAGGACCACAAATGAAAAAGATGTGCAAGGATTTCCCCAAGAAGCTCACTAGGACGAAATAAAGGGTTCAGTTCGAAATTCCAATTACCTGAAGACGGCCGGGGTGTACAACGACCAAAACGTCGTGAATATGGCAACGTAACAAAGATGAGGACAACAACACGAACAATGGAAACTTTATTCAACTTAAAAAAATGAGATTTAAGAGAGAGAGAGAGAGAGAGAGAGAGAGAGAGAGAGAGAGAGGGGTGGTGGAGGGGGGTGGAGTAATCATAGCGAATGACACGCCATATCGAAAAAGATTAACTCAAGATTCCATGGAGTAGTTCGACTGACCCTCATATTCCTTTCATGTAAGGACTGTTTAGCGCTGTTCTGACACTAAAAAGCAGCCCTATAATCTGTATTGGTAGAAGCAGATATACTCACAATTCAGAGATAGGAAAATTTAATTTCGAACAAAGAAGATTGCAAAAATCAAAGCCGATGTCTTCGTCGGAACACAAAGAAGATCATAGATGCAATGAATTCCCTAAGAAGCTCATTAGGACGGAGAAACAGACGTAGGACGGCTTCGTCACAGTGGTTCAGGGATTCCTGGAGAATCACGAAGCTGAAAACTATGTGGAACTTGTTGAGATTCTGGTGAAGAACTACGGCAAAATGAACAGCAAGATGTCCGTCAAAGTCCATATCCTTGACGCTCATCTTGTTAAATTCAAAGAGAACACGGGAATCGTATTCATAGGAGAAAGGCAAGCGCTTCCACCAGGATATACGGGACTTTGAATATCGTTACCAAAGATCGTATAACAAAAAAGGTATGGGGGACTATATTGGTGGGGTCTGATTCGAGAATTAATTTACAGTATAAGAGTAAATCGCGAAAAACTACTCCCTTCTAAACATTTTATGGTCTCTCTTGTATAATCCTAGAATAAATAAATGCTACTTTTGAATCATATGTCGTTTTGTTCCTATTTTGCCTGAACGAGACTGTTCTTGTGTAATCCTATAATAAATAAATGCTAATTTTGAATCATGTTGTTTTGTTTCTACTTTGCCTGAACGAGAATGTTCACATTCACCAATTTTCCCAATGAGAATAGGCAAATTCAGAAATCATTATTCTATTCACAAAAGCAAAGTTTGACGGAAATGTTAGCCATTTTACATACTCTCTAGGCATAAGCAAATAGGAAATGAAAGTTGCTAGCCAAGGACGTGGAGACACATGGACTTTATCAAGACTGGAAAATGCAGACAGAAGTTCTAGATTGTCCCCTTACCGACATAATACGCTGTCTAACTAAATAGGTAATTGTTTTACTAACGATTACTTGCATTATTTACATTATTCGGACTGTTATCTTCATTGCCATATTCACAACGTGTTGGCTGTTGTAGGCTCCGGACTTTTTCAGATGACTGGAAAATATGAAAACTTAAGAAATCAGCACATGTGCTAGGCCACAAAAATCTCCTGAGTCGACCAAACATAGAAATGAATACAATATGGGAACCGGTAATAAGGAGTGCTAGAGAAAAGCACTGAATAACAACAAAAAAATTGCAATATAAGCTTTGATAAAAAAAAATGCAATTATAATAACAAAATAAAAAAAATGTTTGCTGAGACAGTAGGTTTATAAGTGCCAAAAATTCATACACGGATGTCCTCGAGGACACATGGCCCAGTTGTTAGAACCAGTGGTCAGATCCAGTGACTAAACCCAAAAAGTTGTGAGTTCAATACCAGGCCACGGCAGTGGTGAACCAGCTGAGTTACAGAGAAATAACTGAGACATCCGGAAGAGGCATGGTACGTGGAACTAGGAAATCTACCCCGGTGGACGAAATAAAGGCTTCAGTTCGAAATTCCAATCACCTGAAGAAGGCCGGAGCGTACAACGACCGAAACGTTGTGAATATGGCAACGAAGATGAGGATAACAGTCCGAATAATGTAAATAATTTAAATAATGTAAATAATCATAATACCTCATCTCAGAGATATAGAGGCTGAAACTTTGTGAATATGGCAAGGAAGATGAGGATAACAGTCCGAATAATGTAAATAATGCAAGTAATCATAATACCTCATCTCAGAGATAAAGATGCCGAAACGTTGTAAATATGGCAATGAAGATGAGGATAACAGTCCGAATAATGTAAATAATACAATTAATCATAATACCTCATCTCAGATATACAGACAGATAACAATTTTATATATTTCTTTAATAAATCCTACCCGTGATATCATAGAAGGTTCGAGAATATTTGTTCATTGCAAAATTGTGTAGTCACTGGATTAGTTTTACGATAATGAAAGTTCCGTTTTAAGAAGAAGAATTTTATTTCGATTTGATATTTAACAAAGATCTACTCAGGTACTATAAAATCACATGACATATTTATGTCTACATATAAACAATGGCTATAAAAGTAGTTACTTCACACTCATTAGCCAAATAAACGAAAGGTTTCCAGTTTGAGACGCGGTCAAATAATTAAATGTTTGACGATACTAATTATGTCTCAGGTCGAGATTTGCTAGTTTAGATTAATCCGACACAGAGCCAAAATAATTTAATTAACTAGTGAGTTTCACCACGTGGAAGGTGATAGTAATAAGCCATCTATCTATCTAAGTCAGTTCCTATCCATCCATCTATCTATCTATCCATCCATCTATCCATCTATCCATCTCAGTCTGTTCATATCCATCCATCCATCCATCCATCTATCCATCCATCCATCCATCCATCCCAGTCTGTTCATATCTATCCATCCATCCATCTATCTATCTATCTATCTATCTATCCATCTAAGTCCCATCCATCCATCCATCCATCCATCTATCCATCCATCCATCCATCCCAGTCTGTTCACATCCATCCATCTATCCATCCATCCCAGTCTGTCCATATCATATCTATCCATCCATCCATCCATCCATCCATCCATCTAAGTCAGTTCCCATCCATCATCCATCCATCCATCTATCCATCCATCTATCCATCCATCCCAGTCTGTTCCACATCCATCCATCCATCTATCTATCCATCTATCCATCTATCTATCCAAGTCAGTTCCTATCTATCCATCCATCCATCCATCCATCCATCCATCCATCTATCCCAGTCTGTTCATATCCATCTATCTATCCATCCATCCATCCATCCATCCATCCATCCATCCATCCATCTAAGTCAGTTCCCATCCATCCATCCATCATCCATCTATCCATCCATCCATCCATCTATCCATCTATCCCAGTCTGTTCATATCTATCTATCTCTTTTTATCTATCCATCCATCCATCTCAGTCTGTTCATATCCATCTATCTATCTATCTATCTATCTATCTGTCAGTTCCTATCCATCTATCCATCCATCCATCCATCTATCTATCCATCTATCTCAGTCTGTTCATATCTATCCATCCATCTATCTATCTATCTATCTATCTATCTAAGTCAGTTCCTATCTATCTATCTATCTATCTATCTATCTATCTATCTATCTATCTATCTCAGTCTGTTCATATCATCTATCTATCTATCTATCTATCCATCCATCTATCTATCTATCTATCTAAGTCAGTTCCCCATCTATCTATCTATCTATCTCAGTCTGTTCATCTATCTATCTCTCTATCTATCTCTCTCTATCTATCTATCTATCTATCTATCTATCTATCTATCTATCTATCAGGTTCCGGTATCGTCATTTCGGTGAAGTATTTCAATCATTCAAAACATATTTTCGTTTTTGAATCAAGAGATCACAATTTTTTTTCTTAGTAAACATCTGCACATAATATCCTTTGAGGATCAACGCTCATCTGGAGGTTTCCGAGATCCGGTAATGCATTTTAAAGCATCGCAATCTCCAACTCGATTTGTGGATTTTATTCCAGGTATCAAGTCATCAATCTTAAAACCAGTTTGACGCTGCATTGTTATGTCCTTCCACTTTCTTGAGGCGCGTTTTACAATGATCTCTCAGACTTTGCTAAAATCTCATTATAACATAAATCGGAAAAAAAAGCACAAACTATACAGAACAGGGTTTATGACGAAGATTGTATTTCGCCAAAAATAACTGACCACGATATTTAGGGAAGATAACTTTTTTTTATGACAAGTAGTTTTTATAATTAGAATGCACTATATAAAGAAAATGGACGCGCGGTGATGTAATGGTATCTATCTATCTATCTATCTATCTATCTATCTATCTATCTATCTATCTATCTATCTATCTCAGTCAGTTCCTATCTATCTATCTATCTATCTATCTCATTCTCTTCATCCTTATCTATCTATCGTATTCTGTTCATTATCTATCTATCTATCTATCTATCTATCTATCTCAGTCAGTTCCTCAGATAACTTGTTTTTATGACAAGTAGTTTTTATAATTAGAGTGCACTATATAAAAAAAATGGACGCGCGGGTGATGTAATGGTTAACGAGTCATAAAGAGCAATCCGAGAGCAGAATTCGAATTCGAATTACTTTCGGTATGAATCTCTTCTCCCCACAGCTATGGGTTAGATAGTGGTGCAGAGTAAACCTTCAACGCGTTCCGAGTGCACACCGTTGAAAGATCCTCGCAAAGGGGAGGCTGAAAGAAGAATCTAGAAGATCTTGATTGAAACTGTAGAAATTGCCCTGGCCGCTCTCCTTATATTTTGTTCCAATCTGATCTTTGCAAAGATAAAACACAGCGGGAGGAGTCAGGTTCTTTTTGGAGCTGACCATTTTCTCAGCATCTTTAACGATGGATTGTATAAATGAGTTCCACTTAAGGTTTGGAATGAGCAAAGTCGACGCTGCCTTCGGAGTTAATTAGTTGACGCAATTTAAAGGATCGACTTATGCACGATTAAACAGGAGAAGTAGAATAAAGAAATGAAATGAAAAATAAGACAAAAACATGAACAGAATGAACGAATTAAAAAAAGCCTGATAGGAAGGAGTTCTTTCAGAGATAAATAAGAAAAAAGAAGGAAAAGATAAAAAAAAGGAAAAGCAAAACAAAGATTAAAGGGGAGGAAAGAAAATAAAATAAAAAGAAAGGAAATAAGAAAAAATAAAAAGAAGAAAAAGAAAAGAAAATGAAAGAAAAAAGAAACAGTAAAGAAAAGAACAAAGAAAAAGTAACAAAAAGAAATAAAAAAGTAAAAAGAAGAAAAAAGAAAATGAATGAAAAAAGAAACAGTAAAGAAAAGAAAAAAGAAAAAAGTAACAAAAAGAAATAAAAAAGTAAAAAGAAGAAAAAAGAAAATGAAAGAAAAAAGAAACAGTAAAGAAAAGAAAAAAGTAACAAAAAGAAATAAAAAAGTAAAAAGAAGAAAAAAGAAAAAGAAAAGGTAAAGAAAAGAAAAAAGAAAAAGTAACAAAAAGAAATAAAAAAGTAAAATGAAGAAAAAAGAAATGGAAAGAAAAAAAGAAAAAGTAAAGAAAAGAAAAGAAAAGAAAAGAAAAAAAGAAAAAGTGAAGAACAGAAAAGATTGAAAAGTAAACAAAAGAAAGGAAAATAAAGAAAAAAGAAAAGAAAAAAGAAAAAGAAAAAGAAAAAGTAAAGAAAAACCAAGAAAATTCAACAAGAAAAACAAGAAGAAAGAAAAATGTCTGCCTTCATAATAAATCATTGCAAATTAAACAAGTTAATCATCGACATTATATCTTTGCTACATAGCAATTTAAATTTTGTGACTATGTATATAGGATAGAGAAGAATGAGCTGTAGCCTTTTTACATTTCTGAAGACAAAGTTAAAACGGTCACAACTCATTCTTCAGGAATGCCCATAGAATTGATGATGATGAAGATGATGCTTTCGACTGAAAATATTTTCAAAAACGCTATTTAATAAATATACGCGTAATCACTATCAAGTGATTGCGAGCAAGACAATCTCGTAGAACACTATTTAGTGAGAGTGGGGGGAAAAAGACATGAAAAATGAGAAACAAAAGAAAGATTAAAGGAAAGAAAAGAAAAAAACAAGTAAAAGAATGAAAACAAAAACGAAAAGCAAAAGAAGAAAAAGAACGAGAAAGAGAAATGACGAAAGACCTCGAGGGAAAATGCAAGAAAAACAAAAGAAGAAAAAATGATGAAAGAAATTTAAAAAATTAGAAAATTAAAAAACAAAAAAAAAACAACAGGGAAAAAGACAGGAAAAATGAGAAACAAGACAGGAACAAAGAAAAAAAAGAATAAGAAAAAGAAACAAGAAAAAACAAACAAGGAAAAAAAGAAAAAGAAACAAGGAAAAAAGAAAGAGAAAAAGAAACAAGGGAAAAAAGAAAAAGAAACAAGGAAAAAAGAAAGAGAAAAAAGAAAGAAAGAAAAACAAACAAGGGAAAAAAGAGAAAAAGAAACAAGGAAAAAAGAAAGAGAAAAAGAAAGAAGGAAAAAAAAGAAAAATAAAAAAGAAGGAAAAAGGAAAGAGAAAAAAAAAGAAAGAAAAAAGAGAAAAAAAACAAAGCAAAAAGAAAGAGAAAAAGAAACATGTAAAAAAGAAATAAAGGAAAAAGAAAGAGAAAAAATGAACGGGAAAAAAGAAAGAAAAAAGCAACAAAGAAAAAAGGAGGAAAAAAAAACAAAATGAAAAGAAGTAAGAAGAAAAAGAGGTAAAAAAATAAAAACAAATTCAGGAAGAACCCTAGAAAATGAAGAACAAACAAAAAATAAATGCAAGAAAGCTAACATTATTGGTAATGGTGAGATCTACCGTTTCCATACAGGAAACATTCGATATTCATTGGCCGAGTAGGGAGCGTCATTGTCAGTTGAAATTTATTTAAGTCTCTCTCTTAAAATAATTTTTCAGGAACTACATTTCTCAAGTTCAGTAACTGCTGCTATCTTTTCCAGTATTTATGGAGGGTTCTTTCCTGACCTCTTAAATTATTGGGGAAAATCAATATCTTCATTCTATCATTATTTTCCTTTTTAGTTACATTTAGTTTTCGCTACTGTTGAAAGACTTTAGGTGATGGGGTTTCTGTTATTTTGTAAAGTTCTTTGTGATGTTGTAGCGCCATGATATGTGATGAAGGTAGTTTTCTTTAGGTCCTACGGGGTTCATTCTCTTCAAACTATTTTTAAATATTGATATACGAATTATTGTTTTATATGGCTGATAGTTTAGATGTTTCTGAACGTGTCGGACGATAGGCTAAAACAAAAGAACGCAAAAAATGTTTGCAAAAAAAAAGGGGGAGGGAAAACAAAAGATAGATTAAACAAAAGGACACAAAGAAAGATTGGAAAAAAGAAGGAAGAGAAATGTAGAAAAATCTGAATCAATAAAAGAAAGAAAGAGAGAAAGATGATAACAATGGAAGGAGAGGAAAAAAGGTATATTTTTGTAAAGAAAGGCGAAATATAAATATATCAACTAAGAATTTTAAAAGTAAGAACAGAATAAAACATACGAGGAAAATAAAGAAAGAAAGAAAAGCAGAAAACGAAGAAAGGAAACAAAATTGTCGAATCTTGCGGTATCAACCACTGGATCAATCACCAGGCAGACATTGGATTTTCTTTTTTGCTTCTAACAAAATGGCGGCCTCAGGTCTGAAGATCGATATGGTAGAGGAGGGATATTGCAACGTAAAAGCATAAAGTAAAACGAACCAGTCATCTACAGAAAGATAGCAACAAATTTTAGAAGAACCAAATCATACATCAAAAGCATGTCTACATGTAGGGTTTCCAGTATATTGACTGTATTTTTAGCGTCATACTTACGCTTATATAGTCGCTACCTTGCCAGCTATCTAATTTGTGCGCCAATAAGAATGTACAGTTTTATTCTAAATATCCACGGGCTATGCACTAATAAATAGTACACTGTCTTTTCATGGTCTTTTCTATCAAACTCCAAACAAATTTACCTAAATGGGAAACTTTTAAACTAACATGAAAACTTATCAACTTCTATACGTAACGTACTCGTCGGAAACTCAAACATGAGGGTGAATCAAAAAGTAATGCAATTTATTCTATTATATAAGAAATAAGAAATACAATAAAATATATCGTAGATTAAGATGTAGCTATACATCACAGGTTCACATGCGTACTTCTCGACATAGTCACCGTCTCTTTCAATCGCAGCGTTCCACCTACGTAGGCACGTATCCCATCTTCGTAAAATTCAGCTGGGTGCTGAAGTGGCCAATTCTTTACAAAAGTTTTCACTTCGTCATCACTCCTGACTTAGAAACCTCAGATTTTCATCTCTGCGAAGCAGGCTCTGTGGAGTAAACGTTATGGTGGTGATGAAGAAACGGAGACTTCTGTAAGAAAATGGCTTCATCAGCCGCCAGCTTAGTTTTAAGCAACTGCGATTCATGCCCTTCAAAGAGGTGGTGACACTATGTTGAGAAGTAGGGGTGTGAACCTGTGATGTATGTTGAGAAGTAGGAATGTGAACCTGTGATGTATAGCTATATTTTGATGTACGATATGTTTGATTATGTTCCTTATTTCTTATACTTTAATACAAATTGCATTATTTTTTGACTCACCCAAATATAATACGCGCATCAAGCTGAAAAAGGTCAAATAACGCCGAACCCACGTGTTGCCGTTCGGTCATCGAAATTAAGAAACCTCAAGCTCGTTCAGTACTTAGATGGGAAACAAGGACAAGGGGAAGTGTAAACAAGCTCCGACAATCCGAAATATTTTTCGCCTTTAAAAGGTTGATAAACCGTAAAACAAATCAGACAATAGACGATCTAACTGTAAAAAAAAAAAAACGTATGAAAGTAATAGAAACGCTCATCATAAAAGGCAAAGCTAAGAAGGCCAACTTGCAGTATGACTGATACAGTATGGCCGATACATCAATACTCTATCAGCCATACTGCAACAGCCATACTGTACCACACTGTACCAGTCATATTGTACGACACTGTAACATACTGTACCAGCCGTATTCAGGAATTAAAAAAATGTTTGCCCCTCAGCAACTTACATACCAATACAGTTAAACTGAAATCTCCTAAAATGACTAATAAATTAATCGAAAGCGCTTGGAATTAACAATCATTTGGACAATTTCTAGACAAAGTACCCCCACCCCAAAAATCTCGTGTTCACACGAAAGGGGGTGGGGTCAAGAAAAACTTAAAAGAAGTACCTTATCAGTCATTTTTTGATGAAACATGTATTAGACTGAGCAGAACCAACCACACGTTTTGGTTTCAGCACACACACACACACACACACACACACACACACACACACACACACACACACACACACACACATTATAATATTTATATTATAAGAGATTATAATAAAACATTTTAAATAGATACACAAAAGCTTTTATATTTCAATACTACGGTTGTACTTCTTAAGGCGGTGGTTGCTAACTGGTTGCTAGCTGATGGTTACTAACTGATGGTTGCTGAATGATGGTTGCTAAATGATGGTTGCTAACTGATGGTAACTAACTGATGGTTGCTAACTGTTGGGTACTGACTGATGGTTGCTAACTGATGGTTGCTAGCTGATGGTAACTAACTGATGGTTGCTAGCTGATGTTAACTAACTGATGGTTGCTAACTGATGGTTACTAACTGATAGTTGCTAATTGATGGTTGCTAATTGATGGTTGCTAACTGATGGTAACTAACTGATGGTTTCTAACTGTTGGGTACTGAATGATGGTTGCCAAATGATGGTTGCTAACTGATGGTTACTAGCTGATGGTAACTAACTGACGGTTGTTAACTGATGGTTACTAACTGATAGTTGCTAAATGATGGTTTCTAACTGATGGTAACTAACTGATGGTTGCTAACTGTTGGGTACTGACTGATGGTTGCCAAATGATGGGTGCTAACTGATGGTTACTAGCTGATGGTAACTTACTGACGGTTGTTAAGTGATGGGTACAAACTGATGGTTGCTAAATGATGGTAACTAACTGATTGTTGCTAACTGATGGGTACTAACTGATGGTTGCTCAATGATGATTGCTAACTGATGGTTACAAACTGGTCTATGAAACAAGAAAGCTTTTGTGTAGCGTTGTAAAATGGTTTTAATATAATCTTTTATAATAAAAATATAATAATAATATATTGCTCTACTTTTTATTGAATACTTTTTTAAAAAAAAGTAAATGCTACAAACTGTGGGTTATTACTCCATTTGTTCTTTCTTTGAATATATATATATATATATATATTTGTGTTTGTGTGTGTGTGTGTGTGTGTGTGTGTGTGTGTGTGTGTGTGGACATTGAAGTCAAATCCCAGCTGCGTCAGTCTGTTCCATTCGTATACACAATCGTCCAGTGTATAAACATGACTATCGCTGCTGGGTGTTGACTTCAATTCCACTTTTATATTTACATACGCTCTATTCCAGATAATTACCACTTTAACCTATATATATATATATATATATACATACAGTAAAACTATATTTTTATCATATATATATATATATATATATATATATATATATGTGTGTGTGTGTGAAAAGTGTATATAAATATAAATAAATATGTATATGTATAATTATTTATATATTATATGCACGGTAATTATTAAAAAGCGCTCAATATCAAAGCACATCTATCCAACCAAATACATATATATACATATATATATATATA